GAATCCCTGGAGCCATTTAAGGGAGTGAGCTCCCGTTACTTCTCCCAGCTTCTGCCAACTTAGCAGTTCGAAAGCACTTTAAAAATGCAAGTAGAAAAATAAGAACCACCTTTGGTGGGAAGGTAACAGCATTCCGTGTGCCTTCGGCGTTGAGTCATGCCAGCCACATGACCACAGAGACGTCTTCGGACAGCGCCGGCTCTTCGGCTTTGAAACGGAGATGAGCACCGCCCCCTAGTGTTGGGAACAACTAGCACATATATGCAAAGGGGAACCTTTACCTTTACCTTAAGCTGCCCTGAATCGCCCTGTGCGAGTAGATGGTAATATACATTTTCTAAAGAAATAAAGAAATTGTGGTCAAGGACTACCTGTAACGATCGCTACAGGAGATACGCTCTATAACCCTGATGGCAAACCTATGGCACGTGTTCACACACACAGTTGCCACCTGCTCTTCTAGTTTCCAGCACACACATGCATGCCGGCTGCCGCAGCCCCATAAAACAGCCTGAAAACGGCCAGAAAAATGGTCCAAAAAAGGTCCAAAAAACAGCCTAAAAACCGGCCTGAAAACATGTGCCAGCCAGCTGGTCTGATGCTCCGATGTAGGCGAAGACCAGATGACCTGTATGCATGCGAGTGCTGGCATGCAAAGTGCCAAAGAGTGCCAAAGATCAGCTGGCTGGTACACGCATGTGCACCAGCCAGCTGGTCTTCAGGTTTCACACGCATGCACACATACTCCAGTTTGCCCACTCAGTGCCGAAAAGATTCATCATCACTGCTCTATAATGAACAGGAGCAGTGTACCAAGACTCACTTTCTCCATTTTCAACAGATAGAAATCAATGAAATCCTGTGGTTCGTGCAAGTTCTGGTTCTCCTTATGCTGCGCGATCTCCTTCCTGGCAAAGGAAACGATCGTCTCCAGAGCAGACAGGGCCGTCTGGTGAGGGCCTGGCAGATGCTTCATGATATTCGGGAAAGCCTCATAGAGCTATGAAAGAGAAAGAGAGTAAGCGAGAGAGAAAGATGTCCATGGAGGTTTTCCATCATTTAGGTCATGGCTGTCCCAAGAGGCAACTGATCTTACTTGGGTTTTTCTTTTTTCCTTTTTGCTTCTCATCCAAGAAGCTCCTTCAGCTTTGACTGTATGGTGGGGAGTGAAAGGATTGATACTCTTTGCAGACAATCCCAAGTCCTTCGGGATTGGGCGTCCTATAAATTTAATAAATCCAATTCAATCCAAATCCAATTTTAAAGACAGGAAAGTCCACATTTTGGACAGAGAGGACTTCAGATTGGAAAGAGAGGTCAAAGAAATGGTGTAGGGTTTCAAGTCCGGGGAGGGGAGGTCTGGCCACCAGCAAAGGACTTCCCCGGACTTGCTTCTGCTGAGTACGGGGCGACAGGAGGTAGTTTCCTGCCTAAGCAGGGGATTGGACTAGAAGACCTCCAAGATTCCTTCCAACTATTCTATTCCATTCTATTCCATTCTATTCCATTCTATTCCATTCTATTCCATTCTATTCCATTCTATTCCATTCTATCCATCTATATCAAAACAGAACAGCCCTCTGTCAACAGAGGGGGAGGGATACAACATCATCTATCTCCAATCAACACAGTCCTTTCAACAATTCCCAGAAGGTTCC